GTCAGCGTGGCTGGTCTCTGCCAGAGATGTTTTTTAAGAAACAGCAAATCTTTGAATTTTCATCACTGTGAAAGGGATGTTCCCTTGGCAGGTGTTGGTTTGCTGGAGAGATAGTGAATTATCCTAATTTCTCCTGCATTCCTTTTCAGGGGCCAAGTCAGGAATATGGCAACGCTAAAAGACAGTAAGTAAAGGTTTTGTCTGATCTTGAGAGATGAAAAATGTTGCAGGAAAACAATATGTTAAAATATAATTCTGTTTAGCCTCTGTTGGGTAAAATTATTCTGATACATAGCAGTGCTATATAGGCCTGTAGTGCTAATTACATTAAACAAATGTCCTTCAGAAAAGGAATTGCTTGAAGTGGTTTTGGCAGTAATTCGGGTGTCTTTTTATAGTTATACTCAAATATATTTTTAAAATAATTTTTATTCGTATGTTCTAAACCAGATTTCTGCTCACATCTAAGAATTAACTTAGCTTCTCTTATGTTTATTTCCTTGTGCTTTTATGCAGCATTTGGGGGAAAAAGGATTGACTGAATGGTTTTAGTGTGATAATGCTTCCTTAACCCATTCCTCATAGCTCTTATATAGGGATATTGCCTAGGAACTGTGCTTGTCTATGGTTTTTGGTTTATGTTTTGGTTTCTTTTTCCATTAGTGTTTTTATAAATGTCATTTTACCACAGTTTAAACAGAGGAGGAATTTTTTTCTGTCTTCACACTATGGGGATGTTTTTGTTTGTTTGTTTCCTCTGTCATCTGTGAAAGATGACATTATACCTCACTTGTCAAATTTGCAGAAATAGGTAGAAGTGAAAGCAAAGAGAATAGTAAATAGACTTCATGTTAGGATAAATATTAAATGACTGTAGTGTCTGAAGGAAATAATATCTCTGTTGTAAAGATGAATTTGTGTTAGCCACATTCTTACTCTTATACTGAGTAATACTGAGACCTTTTATGAGGTTTATTTGTGTGCTCTTTGTTTATTTATTTCTTCTTCTTTGAAAAACATGGGAAAATATTTTTGTATGGCTCTTACTGGCATTTTGTTGTTTGGGTTTGAGTCATTATGCCCAGTACAGTCCATGACCTTCAACTCCTAACCTTGCAGTCACCAGGCGTTTGAAGTCCATCAAGAACATCCAGAAGATCACCAAGTCCATGAAGATGGTTTCTGCAGCCAAATATGCAAGAGCTGAGAGGGAGCTGAAGCCTGCGAGAGTCTATGGAACAGGAGCTCTGTGTGAGAGAAAGTTCTTGCATTTAGTCATGGGAGAGCAGAAGAGGAGGTTTTCATAGTGGTGTTAATATGCCAAAGCTTTTTAACCTTCCAGTACTCTGTTTCCAAAAGAATTTCCATAGTGAACTTCTCTGAGAGACATCTGATCAGAGTTGTGAATTGTTTCTTGCCCACATCTGGTCTGACCATGTGCAAACTTGAAACAATTGCAAAAGAGACAAAATTAATCTGGCTGACATTTGGAGCCCCTTTGGAATTGGTTTTCATTAGAATAATTCAGAGCACTTTTTATGACTTACTTTCTTTTATTGGCACCATTGAAAAATGTAATTTTTTTTTTTCCAGCTCTTTATGAGAAAGCAGAAATAAAGGCACCTGAGGACAAGAAGAAGCATCTCCTTATTGGTGTGTCCTCTGACCGAGGCTTGTGTGGTGCTATCCATACATCCATTGCTAAAACCTTGAAGAACGAGATTACCAACCTCTCAAATGCAGGGAAAGAGGTTATGGTAGTTGGAGTAGGTGACAAGATCAGAGGCCTGCTTCAAAGGTAAAAAGGATGAGGCCCAAAACTCACACTGCAAAACAGTTTAGAGTTTTGTTTGTTTTCTGTGGTAGAAATTTCAAGGCTGTCTAGAAGATTGTGTGCCATTGACAGGAAATTTTATTTAAGGAAACTGTGCTAAATTCAAGTTCCTGTAAAAAAGAAAATCTGCAAATATTCTAAAAGTGGTTTTGGTAGTCTCACAATTTGAGAAACTGCTGCACAGCACTATTATTTTTTTGAAATAAAAGTCTGAAAGCTGGCAACTGGTGCTGTTACATGTGTGTATATTGTGAAGCTATCATAATTTAACTAAAGGCAAAGTTTCTTTCCGACCCTAATTCAATAAAATATTTAGTTCTGAACACTCTTAAGTTACAGTCAGTTACTTCTAGTAAGTCAGTCTTGTTGCCTCGTTGTACTTTAGCACATCCACTTGGTTCTAACACAGGTTTGTTTTTTTCTGCAGAACACACAGCAACTATTTCCTGCTGACATTCAAAGAAGTGGGACGGAGACCTCCAAGCTTTGGAGATGCTTCAGTCATTGCTTTAGAGCTGTTAAACTCTGGGTTTGAATTCGATGAAGGCTCTGTCATCTACAATCGATTCAGGTAAGGTTGAACTGAAACTTCACTGAAAAATACTTGGCAGAATGCTTCAAAGAGCATATTACCCCAATAAAGTTATATGAGAACTGGCTGTGATTTAGCATGTTCACTTCTTGATTTTATTGTGAAGGACTGGGCTGTTTTTTGTAGTAGCTGTGGTTGAAACTCCCTTTTGACTTGTGTATATATATATATAGTGAATGCTGTTATATTTACAATCAGGACATCATTATTTTCAGGTGACATCCAAGATCTTTTCATCGGGATTATCACAAAGTTTTGTGGCATGGGAAATCCAGAAGTTGTCTATTGTAATTTGAACCATTCAATTTAGAGTTAGTTGAACTGAGCAGTCTATTTTGCTCTTTTTTTTTACAGGTCTGTCATCTCTTACAAGACCGATGAGAAACCAATCTTTTCCTTTGAAACTGTGGCTAGTTCTGGTAAGTAGGGAGCTAGAAACCACCAGTTACATGCAGTGATAAATCACAAGAAAAGT